AGAGGATGTGGAGAAATAGGAACAATTTTACACTGTTGGTGGGAGTGTAAATTAGTTCAACCATTGTGGAAGACAGTGTGGCAATTCCTCAAGGATCTAGAAATAGAAATTCCATTTGACCCAGCAATCCATTACTGGGTATATATCCAAAGGATTATATATCATTCTACTATAAGGACACATGCACATGAATGTTCATTGCAGCAGCGTTTATAATAGCAAAGACCTGGAACCAATTCAAATGCCCATTGATGATAGACTGGATAGAGAAAATGTGGCACATATACACCATGGAATATCATGCAGCCATCAAAAACGATGAGTTTGTGTCCTCTGTAGGGACATGGATGAACCTGGAAACCATCATTCTCAGCAAACTGACACAGGAGCAGAAAATCAAACACTGCATGTTCTCACTCATAGGCGGGTATTGAACAATGAGAACACATAGACATAGGGAGGGGAGCACTACACACTGGGGTCTGTTGGGGGAAAATAGGAGAGGGACGGGGGGGTGCGGAGTTGGGGAGAGAATGCATGGGGAAATGCCAGATATAGGTGAAGGGGAGGAAGTCAGCAAATCACACTGCCATGTGTGTACCTATGCAATGACCTTGCATGTTCTTCAAATGTACCCCAAAACCTTAAATGCAATAAAATAAGAAAGGAAAAAAAAATCTGCCAAACCAGAAAAACAAAAAAAGAACTAAAGCAGATTTACAAGAAAAAGAAACAGCCTCATCCAAAAGTGGGCAAAGGATATGAACAGGCACTTTTCAAAAGACAACATTTATGCGGCCAACAAACATATGAAGAAAATGCTCATCATCACTGGACAACAAAAAAATGAAAAAATGCTCATCATCACTGGTCATTAGAGAAAAGCAAATCAAGACCACAGTGAGATATCAACTCACGCTAGTTAGAATGGCGATCATTAAAAAATCTGGAAACAACAGATGTTAGAGAAGATGTGGAGAAATAGGAGCACTTCTACACTGTTGGTGGAAGTGTAAATTAGTTCAACCATTGTGGAAGACAGTGTGGTGATTCCTCAAGGATCCCGAAATAGAAATACCATTTGACCCAGCAATCCCATTACTGGGCATATACCCAAAGGATTATAAATCATTCTATTATAAAGACACATGCACACATATGTTCATTGCGGCACTTGTAAGTGAGAGCTAAGTAATGAGAACACACGAACACATAGAGGGGAACAACACACACTGTGACCCTTCAGAGGGTGCAGGGTGAGAAGAGATAGATGATCAGGAAAAACAAGTAATGGTTACTAGGCTTAATGCCTGGGTGATGAAATAATCTGTACAACAACCCACCATGAAGCAAGTTTACCTTTCTTTGTAACAAACCTGCACGTGTACCCTTGAACTTAAAATAAAATTTTTAAGGTACACTAATTTGATTATTCGACTAGTTTCACATATACATGGGTATCGATCTTCACAAGACAGTGATTGGTGTGTGTGTATACAATGTCTCTGTTTTCTAATTTCCTATAGTTCTTGTAGGATTGACTCTATTTCCAGTTATATAAAAGGTTATATTAATCATTCAAGAAATATTTCTGGTACATATACTTTGTATTAGATCAGTTAGTGATCTAAGAGCATGGAACATGTCAGTAAAAAAAATGTAAAAATGAAAAATCCCTGCTTTCCTGGAACATTTTTCTAGGAGGAACAAACAAGAATATATAGTCATGTTTCACTTAACATCATCAGTAAGTTCTGGGAAAGTATGGCTTTAAACAAAACAACCTACAGTTGATTCTCAAATAATGTCATTTCATTCCACCTTATTTTGTTATAACATTGTTGAGAAAAATAGTTTTATTATATATTATTTTACTTAAAGTCACAATTTCCAAAATCCCACTGATGATGTTAAGTGAGGATGTACCATAATATAAAAAATACATAATGATTAAAAATATGTTTTAACCATGTTAAGTATTTTAAACAATAAATTTGGGTAGTGAGGGGACTCTTAAATTATAATAGTGTATTCACAGAAGGTTTAACCAAAAATTTTACATTTGAGCCAAAAAGTAAGGGAATTCCAGGCAGAGAAAACTCCAGTAGAATAATCTAAAGGAAGGAGTGTGCTATTTTTTGAACAAATTACAGAAGGTCAGAATAGCTGGAGAAGACAGCAGGGAAAAGGAGTAATGACTAGGACAGAGATTCAACAGGGATGATAATATTCATCCAATTGAATATTCATCCAATTGAATATTTACTTTGTAATATTTCTAAATAAGTCAGGATGACCTGAAATCTAGATCTTCATATTTTTCAATATGGTCTCCGTGTGTGATGTGGAGGAAGAGGATTATGCCTGGCAAATAGTAGTCAGTGAATCAGTATCAGATACCAATGATCTTAAAATTACACATGTTCTTATAATTGCAGACATATCTGGAAGTGATCAGAGGGCTGAAGAAGATGACTTTCAAACATAAATTGTTTTATATGAAGTGTTCCTAATGCTATTATAGTTGGCTGCAGGTTTTCTAATATATTAGAATTACATCAGAAGATGATTAATTTTAATTGTCTTTTTTGTGGCCTCAGGGGACTGAGGCAATAGATAGTCCCTAGGGTTCATGTCTCCTATGTTGTAACTGTAGATATAAGATATCTTGTATCTTAGATATAAGAATGCCTGTGTCATTCTCAGCCTGGAAACATCCTACCTTTGTCATCAGCAGGTTTGCATTAAGATTCTAAAGACAGATTTATATTAATTTCAATCTATATAGCAACTTAGGAGGAGGAGAATGCACCCTTAGGACTCAAGAGGTCTTGAAAAATATATGTGAATGTGAGAAGAACAGAAAATGCTCTCTTTCTGCAAAGGTTTTTTCAGAAGGTCTGACTCCTGAACCACAGCCCCATGAAAAACTTGTACCTGGGATGGGGAAATAGAAGAGCCTTGAGAATATTGGGAATGCCCATTGCCTTGCTTCTGTTAAGTTTTGGAGGAAAAGTCAAGGTAGAAGAGAAAATATTTAAGTAAATTGAAATGAACATAGACTCTCTAGTGAAAAAAAAATAGAAGTCACCGGTGTAATTAAGATTATATAACAGGAAACACATGTCAGTCCTAAAAGCAAAAATAATAGTTAAATTTGAATGGAAAGTAGTTACAGGTAAGAAGATTTCATCTGTCCTATTTCCTGGATTCAAATATGGAAACTTTTATTAGCTACTTAATAGTTTCATTTGGAACACAAAGGCCATTATATAAAGTGTAACATTAATTTAAAATAAATATTTAAATGTCTTAGATAAATAAAACGCAGTATTAAGAAAAAATGTTCTGGTCAGAAGTGGTGGCTCACACATGTAATCTCAGCTACTCAGGAGGCTGAGGCAGGAGAATCACTTGAACCCCGGAGGCAGAGGTTATAGTGAGCCAAGATCATGCCACTGTACTTCAGCATGGGCAACAGAGCAAGACTCTGTCTCAATAAACAAAACAAAACAAAACAAAAATGAAAGAAAACAGAAAAAAAAAATCCTAATTAGAGTATCTTGGTTTGCGATGAGTTGTCTTTTGAGGTGTCATTAATGTACAAACTCATGAGTATAAGAAGAGAGGGCCCTTGAATATCTTGGTCTTGCATGTAACCTAACATCTTTTTTGATGAGCTGTCTAAAAGCTTTCTTGGATTATGTGAATAGTGATAATGTCTATTATAATAGAGAAAGACATTATAGATATAATGGGATCTCAGAGGTGTTGGACAGTAATTAGAGCAATATAATGATTCCTTCCTACTATTGTTTTCTGTTTTCTCATGAACTGTCTTCATGTTGCAGTACTTCCTCAAGATTTTAGTCCTCCTTCATAGGTAATAGTTGGACACAATGAATATACATGCGTCCTGAAGGGAGAGAAGAGAAGTAGAGATGGAGACAGGGAGGACCTGGAAGAAATTGGAGAAAAAGGAAGTTTGCAAGTCAGACTCTTACAATAGTTAGTTCTGGGTGAAAAGATTTTCCTAAATCCCTTTCTCATGTGTTTTATCTTGATGCTACTTTCTAATATATCTTTGTGGCAGTAACTGTCATTGGACTATGAGTCTGTAGTTTGCTTACTAATTGAAAGTACACTTATTAATGAAGGGAATATGTTAGGATCTAGACCTAGATAATGGAGTAGTTTGGTGCGGGTAAAGTATACATGGCTAGGAGTCTGAGGATTGGAACTCTAGTCATCAATGGGTAGATTGGTCTTCATACGCACATCTATAGGAAATTCAAAGTTTCTCTGGCTTCTACTTTGTCACCGCTAGAATAAAGAATGAACTAGGTTATCTGTGTTGCCTATTCAAATTTTATTATTTCTCAAACAATGAGGAAAGACTGATAATTAGCACAGCCTGAGTTGAGGAGCATATTCTCTGAAACAATTAGTTAAGTTGTATTTTGAAGTCAGGTTTTCTGGGTCAGACAAAGATTAAAGTGCTATATGGAATTAACAATAAAGGCACAAATGTTAAGTGTTAGGGCTATTGATAGTTAATGCCATTGTATAAACATAGGGTGTGAAAACTAATTTGTTTATAAAATTTTGATTCGTATTACTGATTACAAGGTGTACATAATCTTGTAATCAGTAACTATAAGAGAGCATCATATTATGTTAGGATTATGTTTTATAAATTTATAATGCTCAAAGAGGCCTGAAATATTTGATTTAGAGTAATCAAAAATATCTAATCTCTTTTTCCTATACTTATAAATGTTAAAAATTATAGTTAGTAACTTAATATTTTACTCAATTATATTTTTCTAAAGAAATTAGAACACATTAAATATATTTTACATTTTAGATATTTAATAAATCTTGAACAATAAAATCATAGATTCTGAAAGATATATTTTGCTTCATCCTTCAGGATCCGTAAAGGTACTCAACCACGTTTCTTATTTTCTTACTCTCCTTAACATTTTTGTTTTCAGAACTAACTTTCATATTCTGAGAAATGATGTTACTGGCAGATAGAAATACAAGTGGGACCACGTTTACCCTCTTGGGCTTCTCAGATTACCCAGAACTGCAAGTCCCACTCTTTCTGGTTTTTCTGGCCATCTACAGTGTGACTGTGGTAGGGAATATTGGGTTGATTGTGATCATCAGAATCAACCCCAAGCTGCACACCCCCATGTACTTTTTCCTCAGCCACCTCTCCTTTGTGGATTTCTGCTATTCCTCCATCATTGCTCCCAAGATGTTGGTGAGCCTCATTGTCAAAGACAGAACCATTTCATTTTTAGAATGTGTAATACAATTCTTTTTCTTCTGTACCTTTGTGGTCACTGAATCCTTTTTATTAGCTGTGATGGCCTATGATCGTTTCGTGGTCATTTGCAACCCTCTGGTCTACACAGTTGCCATGTCCCAGAAACTCTGTGTGGTGCTGGTTGTGGGATCCTATGCCTGGGGAATCACATGTTCTGTGATACTGACGTGCTCTGCTTTAAAGTTATCTTTTCATGGTTTCAACACAATCAATCACTTCTTCTGTGAGTTATCTTCCCTGATATCACTCTCTTGCTCTAATACTTCCCTCAACCAGTGGCTGCTTTTCTTTTTTGCCACCTTTAATGAAGTCAGCACACTACTCATCATTCTCACATCTTATGTGTTCATCGTTGTAACCATCCTCAAGATGCGTTATAGTGGGCACTGCAAAGCCTTTTCCACCTGTGCCTCCCACCTGACCGCCATCACCATCTTCCATGGCACCATCCTCTTCCTCTACTGTGTGCCCGACTCCAAAAACTCCAGGCACACAGTCAAAGTGGCCTCTGTGTTTTACACAGTGGTGATCCCTATGTTGAATCCACTGATCTACAGTTTGAGAAATAAAGATGTCAAGGATACAGTCACCAAGATACTGGACACCAAAGTCTTCTCTTGTTGAGCCTGTTACTTCAGTGGAGTTTGTCACATATATAAATAGTGTGTCCATATTTACTGATCTTAAATCTATCTTTACAAATACATAGAGTTAAGGTTGTTCAACTGAACGAAATGGATTTTGTTTTCAACAGACTAAACTTAACTCTGCCTCTTACCTTCTGAGAAACAACAATAGTCTCTCTAATCGTTGCTATTTCATTTATGAAATTAGTATAACGTGGGTTAGATCATAGTTTGATTGTGAAAGGTTAAAATATAATGAACACCTTGTGTAAGTCCATGAACATTATTAATTCTATATCCCTTTCTTATAAAATACCAGGAATAAACTAAGTGCTCAATAAACGTATGAATTTCTTTTATAAATGTGCAAAATATGTTAAAGAAGAGATAGTCCTCGTCCTCAAGGATGCAAAGCTGTGTTGATAATAGGACAATGAAGAAGTGGCTATTGTATAAGGCAAAAATTGATAAGTACCAAAGAGAGTTTGAGAGAAGAGAAAGTTCAAATCCATTTAGGAATTTTAGAAGGATGTCTTAATGAAATAGGTATTGTTTGAAACTGGCTTTTGAAAAGGATATGGGCAGAGTTTAGGAGACACATTTCAGTGAGAAAAGGGTTTTATTTGGGAGAAAACAATGTGAGTGAAACTAAGGAGATAAGAATGCAATACACAGTCAAAGATCAAAGATCTAGTATGTATTTTATTGAGCTAACATAACAGAATGTGTGTCTGCTGTGTTATGTATATAGGTACTCGACATGAATGGAAATTTTAATACATATGGGCTATATCCTGACTGTGTTTTTAAAGGAGCTCTAGTGAGATAGTCTAATAAACTAAAATAGACTTTTCCAGAAGCTGAGAAATAATGGATCAGATCTTAGAAAATCTTATGTACCAAATTAGGGATGACAAACACCTGCCCAACATGTATGTCACACTGTTAGACATCACAAACAGTATCAATCCATTATGACTTTTTTTCTTTTATGATAAGCATGGAAATAATCTCTGAATCCTCAATTCAAGGTAGTTGGAGTAGTCTTTAGTGTTGAAAGCTAATCGGCTGCATAACTTAATCAAAATAAAATAAAAATCAGGTAATCATTAATATCAAGACCTATTTAACACAGCGAATTAAAAATGCTATCTTTGTCTTAATAACTCATTTTCATTTGAATAATTTGCATACCCTTCTCCTTTTCAATGTGTCAAGATACAGTCCAAACTAAATCAGCAATATGGTGGAAGAATTAAATTTCTAGGTGCTTTGTTATGGAAGAAAAAATAATATCAGGAAAAATTTTATGTAAACTTCTTAAACTTATTTAAAATGTTCATATTATTTTAGCCTTATGGTGATTATTAAAGTTATGATAATTATAGTGATTTATATTTATTATTTGATAAAAAATCAACTAAATAATCCTTGTATATGAAAACATTTTTTTAAATGTAAGGAACAGCGTTTTAGATAATGAATGCCTGAGGAAGGAACACTTTTTCTCTTGATATCTGTATCTCGAGGGATTCAAAAATTTATTCTTCATATACATCTGGTACTTACACAGTTTTAAATTTTCTCAAAAGTTGGGACATTGTTTTAATATTACATTGCATCCTAAATTTCACTATCTTTTGAAATTCTGAAAAGCTGCCATGTGAACAAGCATAAAATAACATATTTATAATGAGGAAAATTAACCCATGTGCCCATCACAAGGGATGTTCTCTGCCAACCTAGCAGACTTGAGTGTGAAGCCCTGTTAGATGACCGCACTTGCCAGCTGATAGCATACACACAAGCAAGACAAGCCAAGATCAGCCATGCCAGGGACGGATCAGCAGAACCACCTGCATGACCCATGCAATAGAGTCACAAGCAATAAGAGGTTGCTGTGTTCAGCCAATAGGTTTTGGAGTGGTTTGTTATGCAGTCATTAGAGTCACTCACTTTCTCAAATTCTGAGAAGGCTACCAAAAACCAGGTCTGTCAGGGGGAAGTAGGGGAGGGATGGGGGGATGGGGAGTTGGGGAGAGATAGCTTGGGGAAAAATGCCAGATATAGGTGATGGGGAGGAAGGCAGCAAATCACACTGCCATGTGTGTACCTATGCAACAATCTTGCATGTTATTCACATGTACCCCAAAACCTAAAATGCAATAAAAAAAAGAAAAAGATAAATCTTCCCAAAGTGTTATTATGTAATAATTCACCATCTTATATTATTCCACACTAAGGAAACATTTTAAAATAATAAAATTGTTTTAAATTTAAAATTGTTGATTTTATTAATATTTGTTGATACAATGTTTTATTCAGATGGCATCTTATGTGGTTGAAGTACATGTCATCAAAAACTTAGTACTTCACATTTATATTATACAATTTATGGATAGTGACCGTGAAATTAATCACAACTATTTTAAATTTAAATCAACTTTTAAAAAACACCTCCCACCCTTTTAAGCCTAAGATAGATAAGCTATGCAGCTTTCTTGTGAGTGGGTTGCCTATACCACATAAGGCATCATTGGTAATGATGTTCTTTATAGATGCATTTTCAGCTTTCTATCATGACTCTCATCTTCAAGAGAGATGCATTTTTTGACAATAGCTTGGCATTATACTAAGAGCAAAATGAATAGGTATTAAACCAATGTTTTCATCATTCTATTATGTATCTAAGTACATATAGTGTACTATATATGTGTATATTATGTATAAACCCATATTCAGTAGCCAATAGGTAAATTTTATATATATATATATACATATATATATATATATATATTTTTTTTTTTTTTTGAGACATGTTCTCTCTTTGTCAACCAGGATGGAGTGCAGTGGTGCAAACACAACTCACTGCAGCCTGGAACGCCTGGGGTCAAATGATCCTTCCATCTCAGACTCTCAAGTAGTTGGGAATATAGGTGCACACCATCCACCTGGCTAACTTTTGTATTTTTGTAGAGACAGTGTTTTTCCATGATACCCAAGGTGGTCTGTAACTCCTGTGATCAAGCAATCTGTCCACCTTGGCCCCCTCCCAATGTGCTTGGAGCAGAGGCACTAGCCACCACAGCTGGCCAAGGTTATATTGGCTAGAATACATGTCAACTGCAATTCTTTTCGATAAAAAGAAATTTACAGACAACTTAGAGAAACAGGTCATGCTATGGGTTTGAAGTGTCAATTAAAGACAACTTCAGCCCTCATGGATAACATTTCAAGTTTAGGATTTGGATGTTTCCTTTTGTTTTTCTCATCAGAGTGATGCACGTGGTAAGATACGAATGGATTAGAGAAATTCCATGCTTTTTAAAAGAGTGAGAGAAAAGAGGTTGTGAGAATGCTAGGTGAAAAGGAGACCCAGAAAGTCTCCTGGAATCCAGAGAATTCTCAGATCAGTTTTGGAAAACACATATAGATTATAACTGATTACATCAATGGAATTATTGAAATGTTGGTTTCTCTTGGGGCACATAGACTGTGATTTGAAGACTGCTCATTCAGGTCGACATTGCTGTATTAGTCAAGAAGGAAGTGGAGCTTGGAGATATCCTTGAGATATTTCCATTTAGTGACCACCAGCATTGAACAGGGAGTCTGCACCCCCAGTACCACTCTGGAGCTCTGTTCTTCCTTAAGTTGCACAGATGGCACAAACCAAAAAACCACACTTGGCCTGTCTCTAGCAGGGACTCTGTGTGTGACTTTGGGTGAGTTACACTTGCTGTGCCTCCAGAATCTCATTTTTAATGGGAAATAACAACAGTACTGTTGTCAATCACTTCTGTGAAGATAAAATGTGTTAATAAAATTGTATTTAGAATAGTATCTGGCACATGAGAAGTACTCAGTAAATGTAAGCAATTATTAGTATTCTTAGTAAAAGAGATTCATTATCCCCACCCCTTTCTGATATTTGGAGGATCTTTGGTATCGTTTCAGATTCTATGCCCTTTAGGTAGGAGCTTTTATGTATAATACAAAGTTTGTAAGACCTATTAATAAAATTTCATAAATAGTAATGTGAGTACTGCCTCACAGTGGCAGTGCTTGCATGTGGCATACAATGTTCTGCAATTTACATGAACTCTGAATGTAATTGCGTTAGATTACAAAAATGTGTAATAAGTTGAATTTTCTCTCACTCTATTTATATTCCATAGTGGTCAATAATTTTTGGACTCTCAGGGTACGATGGTTTCCTTGATACGTAGTGGTATCCTACAGAGATCAATGATTGTTTAGGGAAGATTATGAAACATAAGCCCCAGGGACACAGACAGGACACACATAAAACATAAGCCCCAGCACGCACACACACACACACACACACACACATGTGCACACACATAAAAACACATAACATTTCCATCATAGCATCTTTAGAAATAGGAAAAGCAACGTCTGCTCAATAGATTGGTTAGCTGAACTACATTTTGTATTTTTGAGAATGAGCATAAACTATATTTTCTGGAAGCTGGAAGTCTGATGTTTTTTCATCATGGAGGTAACTTATACACTGCAGAAGGGGGAATTCAAAAGGATAGTAATCGTATTAGATAATTTTTAAAATCTGTGTTTTAATCCTCTCTTAATCAGATAATATTTTTTTAAATACCATGTTTTGAACATTCCTTGATGACAATATTTTTCTTGTTGTGTATTAAGGGACAACTTTGATGGGAAGTGGGAATTATTTAATCTGCGGAACCAAACATCTTATAACAAGTAGTGTGAGATGAAAAGCAGTGTGAACGAATTGGCATAAGCACTGGTTTTCTCTATTCATCCCCCTTTCCCATCTATTAACACTAACTCTTTCCATGCAACCTGGCAAAGACTGCATGGAGACTTTCCCAACAGCCACCTTGGTGCTGAGGGTGGCAGTGAGAGGCCCACAGGACTGTTCATGGAGGGACATGGATATGAGAACCACCTCTGAAGCAGAAAGAAGAGGAATTATTTTGTCTTTGTGCCAAGAACTTTGAGATGTCTCTCTATGGCAGGTTTCTCAACGAAGGAACCATTAAAATTTTGGTCCAGATAATGTTTTGTTGTGTGTGCTGCAGGCAGGGACCCTCATGTGCTTTGTAGATTGTTTAGCTGTGTTCTCACTAGATGTCAGTAGCACCCTCTTCCTCTTGTAATAAGCAAAAATGTCTCCAGACATTGAAAAATATGCCACTGGGACTCAAGTCACTCCTGACAAAGAAACATTGCTTTATGGGCAATTAGCAGCTAGATTTTTTTCTTTAAATTTGAAAACAAGAAAGGATTTTCAAAAGTATTTACTAGTTTGAACTTGGGAAAAGATTTGTGACTTACTTCTCCTGGTCATTTTAAGAGAGAAAACCATATTATCAGAACATTTGATTTATTTTCAATCTGGCATTTAGTAATATGTCTCTTGTATATCTGAAGTCAGTAGAAGATTGGAAAAATACCTGGCTGTGTTGGTCTCTAGTCCAGATTCTTTTCTTCCTGGAGTGCTCAGTTGGTGCCTCTGCAATGATGTATGTATCTATCAATGGTCAGGGAGAGAGAATGTGAGGCTTCTCACCCTCACTTTACACTTGCTGTATGTCAAGGATTCGGAAAGCGTGTGTCCCTATTTTAAAAAATTTTCATTCTTTTTCCTCATTTCATTCCATCATAATGGTGTTTTGTGAGAATTCAGACAACTACATACATTTTTAAAATAAATATTTATGTTCATGAATGTTTTAAGGATTAAATATATGATGAAACTTATGTGTGTGTAGAATAAATGCATTTATTTATATTATACATTACTATAATATGTATAATATTCTTTATGTGCAATTTTGCAGTATTATAACTTTCTATTTTATTACTTATCACAGTCTGTTTTTATATAATTAAATTGATACAAAATTATCATTTTTGTAACTGCATGCTTTTCCATTATATAAAATACAATTGCAACCATATTTCTCTTATTTTATGTTTATGTCTAACTTTTAATATTCCACATTGCTTCAATGAA